CCTCCATAGGCTTAGAGCTTTTAAAATAAAGGCCCGTGGGGGGGGGGGCATTTTAGATTCAAACCTTAACACCGAGCACAGAGCCTTCTGGGACTGAGAGCCGAAACAAAACCTTTGCTTCTTGAAGTTTATTTTCTCGAAGTGACAAAAAGCGATGGATGGCCTCAACATGTCAGGACAAACTCATCGAGTCTTTAGCATACAAAAAATTGTGAGAATTCACTAAAACAATTGTAAATATTACAAACCTAAATTTTCCATTACCATAAAACTTATCTGTGTTAAAGAAAAAACACTAAAGATGACATCGAGCTTTGGTTAATTATGTTTATCACCTAAACTGGATTCTTGTTCGCCTGTATCTGCCCAACATATTCCAGTCTATTCCATATCATCGAAGACAGGCAAATTCACTCACTTTTCCAGCTGCTCAGAATAAATGTTTGATCATCATTGGTTCTTTTTTGCCCCCTAGGATCCTTAGCCCAGTCTCTCAGTAAATTTTCTCATGCTGGCTTCCAAGAATATATCCAGAATTCAACTATATCTTAAAGCCTTCACTATTAACAAGCCAGTATACATATATATGCTTTGTTTCCTCTTTGGCTAGGCTAGTTCATGACATATCAGTCTACAGTTGACTTTTAACCGCACTGGAGTAACCATTTTAATGCCTAAACTATATGATGTCAAACCACTGCCAATCGTACCCTATCCCCAGGCAACTGGCTTCCTCGTGTATCTCTGACCTCACATCACATAGTCTTCTTTCTGGGTAACTCTTCCACAGCTCGTGGGGCTTTGGGCAGTTCTTCCGCCCTGTGAGACCTATCTCCTCCTCAGCAACTTGACTCAGGCCGGTCCTTCATTCCAATAGCACTTTCCCAGTCTGCCTGGCTCCAATTGCCATTTTTCAATGACAGCAGCTCCCTCATTCCATATCCTTGTATTTTATCCTTGTTTTACATTTTTCACCTCCCTGGTACTATAGAGTGTAGCTGTTTATTTTGTTGTTTACTGAATCTCCCCCACTGGCATGTAAGTTTGAAGATGGTCTGGGTACCTGCCTCTTTTGTGTACTGCTATTTCAGCAGCTTCCAGGGGTATGCCAGGCACATGATAAATATTTGTCGAAATGTGCAAGTTGTTTGCTTCTAGAACAAGAGTATCAGACTCTAGATTCCATGGGATTAAGTTCCCATTTGCCTGGAGCATTCTAGAGCTCTTTCAAAGGCTGATGTTCTAAGGTTCCCTTCTTAGTTTGACTTAAAAAACTGGTGATTGTTTTCTCAGTGGCTGTCTTAGTTAGGGTTTCTATTGCTGTGAAGAGACATCATGATCATGGCCACTCTTATAAAGGAAAACATTCAGCTGGGTGGCTTACAGTTCAGAGGTTCAGTCTGTTACCCTCATGGTGGGACGTGGCAGTGTGCAGGCAGACATGGTGCCGGAGAAGTAGATAAGAGGCCTAAATCTCGACTCACAGGCAACAGGAAGTGGTCTGTCTCACTGAGCATGGCATGAGGATATATGAGACCTTAAAGCCCACCTCCACAGTGACACACTTCCTCCACCAAGACCACACCTACTCTAATAAGGTCACACCTCCAAATAGTGCCCCTTCCTTTGGGGGTCATTTTCTTTCCAACCATCAAAGTGGTCAAGCACTAGTTTCAAAAGATCCTGGGTTGTTAAACTTGGGTAGAACGAAAAGTCCCTGGGAAGATGAATGTGATTAGTTTTTTAATTTCTTAGATTAATTTACATGATGTTACACGTGTCTTGGATGCATGGAAATATATCACCACAAGTATTCCTGGTACCTTTAGAAGTCAGGTACTCTGGAACTGGAATTATGGATGAATGGTTGCAAGCCAGCATATGAGAGGTGGGAACCGTACCTGGGTCCTTTTCATGAGCAATTAGAGCTCTTAGAAGCTGAGCCATCACTCCAGTCCTATAATTATAGCGTTAAAAGCTTCAAGTATTGCAACTCTTAGCATTTCCTATCAATGCATTGCTCTTCCTGCTTTGGAACATACGAAAGCAATTGGAAGGTAGGAGCCTGTTTGATTATGCATAAACAATGCTATCACCCCTTTTTCTAGGGTTTCGACAAATTACTTTTTTCATACTGGTTTTTCTTTTGAAATATGAGTTGAATATCTTCAAGTATCCAAAGTAAGAGCTCTGTATATTCCCCTAAGTGTTTGAAAGCAAACATGTTAAACTTATTCTGTATAACTTTAGGATCTATTTTTTAGGGATTCCCATTTTTCTTTTTTTTTTGGTTTTATGAGACAGGGTTTCTCTGTATTGTTTTGGAGGCTGTCGGACCAGCCCGGCCTCGAACTCACAGAGATCCGCCTGCCTCTGCCTCCCAAGTGCTGGGATTAAAGGCGTGTGCCACCACTGCCCGGCCTAGGGATTCCTATTTTAAAGGAGCATAGACTTAGGCATCGAGATTTTAGTTGATTAAAATACCTCATCCTACAGATATAAAAAACGATGCTCAATGATACTAAGAAACTTGCCCAGAAGTACATAGTCTAAGAAGTAAACTAAGGTGCCTCTCCTGACATGGAGAACAAAATTAGTTCTCCATGTCAGAAAAGCAATGGAATATAGCACCGCATGTGTGTGCAATCCTAAACAGTATACAGTCCTGTCCAGAGAAGGTCTGTGTTTCTATAGTGAGGCTCTCAGAATTGTCCTAACAAATAAAAACCATGGATTACAAGAGCAAGATTTTGCAGGTCACTTGAAGTGAACCATCCCTACGTGGAGAAGTGGCTTCCTCACAGAGATGTTCCCTATTAGCCATGGCTTCTGCTGTCCCTATTAGAATGAAGGCCTCTTTTGTCATTTAATGTAATTATTACAAAGAAGTAAATGGGCCCTTAGACATGCGCACTTTGCCTTTGTACTAGTAAGCATGAAGATATCATGCCAGAGAAATGTGAAAGTTGACACCAGCAAGCAAGCTTCATTTTCCTTTTAATGACACCAAGAGATGGGATGTCTGCCAGCCACAGTGGCACATGGCACATGTCTTTAATCCTAGTGCCAGGGAGGCAGAGAGGAACAGATCTCTGTGAGTTGGAGGCCAGGCTGGTCTACAGAGTGAGTTCCAGGACAGCAGGGGCAGGGGCAGGGGTAGGGATAGGGGCTCTGTTACACAGAGAAACCTTGTCTCAAAAAAAAAAAAAACAAAAAAACAAAGGTGGGGCAAGAAGGGATGTGTTTTGTTTTCAGGGGTGGGGGGACTTTGCTTGGCCCCCTGCTGTGTTTCCCTGCTTACTTTGGATTGTGATACCAGAGAAGCCTGGAGGCCAGCATGCACTTTGGTAACCTGACAGGCACCATTGATCTATCCCCAATTTCTTTTGGACCTGATAGAGTTTGTTTACAAGTCAAATCTGGTCTTTATATTTGGAGGTGAAATGCCCGTGTAATGACATTAATAGAGAAACATTTTAATTTAGATGAGCCATCTGCAATTTTATTTCTTTGGACAATCTGTTTTCTGTTCTCACAGCACGTTTTTTGTTTTTAAAAGACAGGCCTGAGCCGGGCGGTGGTGGCCCACGCCTTTAATCCCAGCACTTGGGAGGCAGAGGCAGGCGGATCTCTGAGTTCCGAGGCCGGGCAGGACCGACAGCCTCTAAAATAATACAGAGAAACCCTGTCTCGTAAAACGAAAACAAAAACAAACAACAAAAGACAGGCCTGCTGTAGCTCAGGTTGGTCTTAAAATCGCTATGTAATCAAGGCTGACCTTGACCTCTCTATTCCCACACCACGCCCTATCTCCTATTTTCTTGGCCATGTACTAAAAGTCTTTTCACCTATTGTATATAACTTAACCTTACCTTTTAAGAAAAGTAATGACAATTTTGGCTGCTTTCCCATGTTCTGTATACACTCTGCCTAGGACGAGTAAGCCTGGATTCACATGTCATGCTGAGTCTCTACATCCTAAATATACTTTTGCAAGCGTATTTGACAAATACTGAAGTGTCTGGCAAGACAACTCCAATCCAGAGAGGAGATAACCCAAACGAATAGCCATTTTAAAGATGCTAAGCAAAAAGGATTATTTCAGAACATACACATTCGTAAGCAAGGCATTCACGGAAGCGGTAGCGCGTGAAAAGACCTGAAAAGGTAATTATTTGAAGTGGCAGGATCTGAGCATGGATAATGTTTTCTTTCTTAAACGGCTGGGAAAAAATGCTAAAACTATACACAACGCTTCACACACAGTCACAGTGAAAGCATATGGCAACACTGTTTTGGGCGCATTAAAGAACTTCACCTGCAACCATCAAACGCGAGAGGAGGTCATGCATACAATTCAATACCGGTTGTGCAAGATTGCAAAATGAGGAACAGACCAAACTCCAAAATCACCAGGGCTTGTTTATAAAGTCTCCCAAACAGTGGAAGCTATCAACAACAAAAAACATGCTCTTTACGTAATTAATCTTAGTAGAAACGAACTGGGGGAAAACTTTGCAGGTCGGTTGTCAACAGGCTTTTGATTTTGAGCAAGGGCAGGGAGTGGGGTGGGGTGGAATGAAGCGGCGTTTCAAGGTCTCAGAACCCGCAGCGTCCACACACAGAGGCGCAGGTCTTTCAGAACTCTGAGCCCCTTTGCCATTCGAAACATTCTCGGTAAGATTCCGACCACCCCGACCCACGAAGAGATGCTTGCAAGGACAAACTTCCAGTACAGATTATCGACTACTTAAAAAAAAAAAACAATCCTAGATCCACAGGCGCACTCCTCCAGGCTGCAGAGTCTGCACAGGGCATACCAGGTCCCTCAGGCCGACCCTCACACGCCCCACAGCAGCTCCAGCTCTAAGGCCCACGCCACAAGCCCGCGAGCGGCTCCACTCGCCTAGGCGGGAGCGCGACGCCCCGCCCCCGGAGTGTGGCGGAAGTAGCCGGAGCAGCACTGCGACCGCGCGCGCGCATGCGCTCTCACCGCCTGGGTCGGCCCGTCCGTCTAGTTCCCTCAGTCTCTGCAACCCCCGCCCCTCATAGTGGCTCCTCTCGCCATTTTGCGCCCCCCTCCAGCCTAGCCCAGTCACCTTTTCCCTTTGTACAGCCTCTGTCCCCCCAAACCCCGCCCCCCTGCCCATCGTGTCCCGGGGCCGCCGCCGCAGACACCGCGCCATCTCTGTCCCCTCTCATTCTCCACGCGGGACGCGCAGACGTGCCTCCACGTGTCCTTAAGCAGAGGTTGTGGGGCGCGTGGGGGCGGCGGGGAGCGGGGCGAGGTCATGGGGAACGCCAGGGCCGTGGCTGGCAGCCAAAGGTCAGGCCCAGGACTGCGGGCCCGGCCCGGGGCAGGCCGCCGAGTGTGGGGTGCTGCATGGCTCCTCCCCGTCGTCGGTGGGCGTGGGGCGAGGGGAGCCTCGGGGCCGGGCCGAGAGGCACCTTTTGCGTGTCACCCAGGTTGCGTTGGGGACGCGAGTCCCTCAGAAAGAAAAGCTCTGTTCCTTGGAAGTTAAGTAGCTTTATAGCGGGAGTGCAGCGTTCAGGGAAAGGGACGCCGGACGCAGCGATGCTGCTGTCACCGCCCACCTCTGGGACCCTTGGGGAGATCATTTAGCTAGTGCCTTGGGGGGTGTAGACGGGGATCCTCATAGCCTAGGTCAAAAGTCAGGTTTAAGGGAGAGGATTTGTGTGTTTTAAAGCTTACACCAACGGCAGCAGAGTTCTCAGCTGTGATTAATTACCTATGAGCTCCGTGTTCAGAAAATTGTCATCTTGCCTTGTCTTTGGGAAGTCAGGACAGTTGGTGTGACAGATGCTGATGGGGTTATAGGGATAGGGGATCCTGGAAGCAGTGTTGTTATTGCACACGCGGATAGGTTAACATCGTGTCCCTGGAGTTAGTAGAAACTCAAAGAAACGTACGAGTACGTGTTGCTGTGGGAGAAGACCTGGGTTCTCAGTATTTGCAAAGAGCGCCTCAAGGTTAAAAGATTTACTTGAAGAAACAACTGGTAGAATTTCTGTGTGTTCCAGAGAGGCGGAATTTGACTCCTAAGGGACAGTTTCTTGATAATACTTGGCAAAACCAGAACGTACTTAATCATGCTATTGCAAAGTCTTGCCCCCGCACCGCACCCCACCCCGTTGGGCTTTAAGTACATTGTGTCTATCCTGAGAGCTGCGCTGCCCAATGGAACGCTCTGCCAAGCTGGAAATACTATATACACTGTGAGCTGCCAACATGGTAGCTATCTGGCGCAGGTGGCGCTTGAGCGCTTGAAATGTGGCAGGCGCCACTGACGAGCTTAAATTTTAATCCGTTAGAAAGTTAATTACGACTTCAGTAGCCACCCACACGCACGGTGGTTGGCTGTTGCATGGGATCCCACAGGTCTGAGAAATTGAGAACTGTTACAGTTTTTGATTTGGTTGAGTTTTTAAATCAGAGAGGCCAGCTCATGGGATATTTATGCTGCAAGGAGTCACAATTATATCCAAATAATGCCTTTCATTCAAAGCTTGGGTCTGTTAGTATTTATTTACAGCTTGGCAAATTAAAGCAAAGCACTCTACTGACTCCTTGGTTCTCAAACTAATGCCAGATAGTTGGAAAGAGAACAATACTAACTAGAGTGTTCTTTAATCAGCGGTGGGCTTCCACTGTCTTTTATCACTTGGTTAGTTCTTCGTGAAAACTTTCAACTCTTATTGCTGCGTTTTTTTTTCTTCCCCATTTAAAAGGTGGTGCTTCTCTTTTAGCCTTTTGCATAATGAAGCACTTTAATAAATGATAGTAGCAACCTTTGAGCAATTTTAGAAGTCAGTTTAGTACCCATATTCAAACTTCTGAAGAGAAAAGTGAACTTTGGTGATACATGTGTCATATTATTACTTTCCTTAAAATGTGCCCATTTTTGACTGTTAATCATGAAAATAAAAATTTCCCCTTTTCCTTTTTTTCTTTTTCTCCCCTCCCCCCTTCTTACTTCTTTTTATGTGCTGGGCATTGAACCCTGCCCTCCCAGTTGCTAAGTGGATGCTCTGCCCCTAGGCTGTGCACCCAGTCCTTGAAAATAAACCCTAAGGAAAAAAAAAAAAAACAAACCAAAAACGAAACTGTCTTGGTAGATACTATCCTGAACTCTGACTTGATGTTTGTAAAATGCTGCCCTTGGCCTCAAGGCTGAAGATAATCTTTGGCTCTGGACTGATAGCCTAAAACTCATGAGTTACAATATGGAGAGAATAACTCAGGATATGCAGATCAGACTGAGCTGATTTTCTCTGTGGCTTTGGAGGCTGTCCTGGAACTCCCTTGGTAGTCCAGGCTGGTCTCGAATTTACAGAGATCAGCCTGCCTCTGCCTCCCAAGTGCTGGGATTAAAGACGTGCGCCACCAACGCCCGGCCTCTGAGCTGGTCTTAAGTAGCAGACTATCTTAATTTTTCTGGGACATCCATGTCCCAGCATATTTCTACCAGACCCCCTTTCATACTATCAAAAACATGCCACCTTGGGCTGTGCTAACATGGCCGCACTTGTCAGAATTCTTAACATAATCTCTGAACGAATAGCCATGTTTCGGTCACCAAGATACGTTTGCTGAAATCAGTGACAAAGTCAGTGCTGTTTCACTTTTTAGGTCATAACTGGAATAAGGTCAGACAGTGAGTTGGTCACTTTAGCCACTGGCAATTTAAATGTTTTACTTTGTATAGAAATCTTGTGTAGAGTGATTGCCTATCCTCTTTGGGGAAGAAAAAAAATCTTTTGATGTAAGGGGCTACAATATAGTAAAATAGGAAGATTGAGTATTCCTCTTGAAAAAAATTTTTGGGGGGGTGAGGTCACATAGTAAATCAATCACAAATCTGCTTTTCATGTATTATAATGTCAGTGATTTTTGCTTGTACTCCACTTATGATGGTGAAGAATTCAGCCATTGCATTATTGTGTTAACTGAACTCATGCTAACCAAAGGGGATGGACTGTTCTATTTGCTATTTTAAATGTTGACAGTGATGCCACAGAGCCCTGCTGTCCTATGGGGTCCCACTAGCTTAGTATTGAGAAGGCTGCCCCGCCGTAAGCTTCCCTCTTTGAGCTGGCTTATACGACCCCAGAATGTTCTTAAAGAGTTGTGCCTTTGCTCAAGTTCACTTAACTGAGCACTTTCTATGTGCCAGGCCTTGTCACTGTTGCGTGAACTCTAGGGAAGCATCTTAAGTTTGCACTCAGAGGAACTGAGGAAGGGAGGTGCTGTGAGTTGCCCAGGGTCACATGATGAGCTCAGTTCTTTCCTGCTACATTGTGGGTGGGCATAGGCAGATAGTTCACAACCAGGCTCGCTGTGACAGCCACCGTGGGGAGGACTTGTTATGGAGGAGTTAATTATGATCCACTTTTATTTGTGTGTTCCTCGTTGTGTAGTAGCAAGGATTCTGGACCAGGAGTCAGAGGGACCTCAGTTTTAGTCCCAGCTTGGGTCACTAAATAGTGGTGTGTCCTTGGGTAGTTCAAGAAAGCCCTCTGGGCTGCAGTTTCCTCACCTGAAAAATGAGGGATTTGGATGCAGTTAGTGATTTTCAAACTGTGGTTGGAAGCCTGCTCACATCTGTGGTCCCCTCCCACCTATTCGCATAGTTAAGCTTTGCCTGTTGTTTGCCTTCTGCCTATGGGTTTCTTTTACACAAAGACTGACCGAACATGGCATTTAAATTTATTAGTCTCTGAGGGCACAGGTGGCAATGTCAGCCCCTGACTGCAATGGTTGTAGCTCTAATAATTTCATATTATTTTAGAGTATCCGGAGATAGGCATCTTTTTACCGATGAGAATTCTAGACACTAAAATTGATGATTTTTTTTTTTTTGTCAAGATATATGCCTACATAGATCAGGTTGTCAGCTACTAGGAATCAAAGCCCCCTCCCCCTTTTAAGAAGATTTATTTTAATTATGTATATACACACACATCTGTGTTGGGACCAGTAGAGGCCAGGGGTGTTGGGTTCTCCTGGGACTATAGTTACAGGAACTTGTGAACCTTTGATGTGGGCTCTGGGAACCAAACTTGGGTCCTCTGGAAGAGTAATGTGTTTTTTTTTTTTTTGGTTTTACGAGACAGGGTTTCTTTGTATTGTTTTGGAGGCTGTCGGTCCAGCCTGGCCTTGAACTCACAGAGATCCACCTGCCTCTGCCTCCCGAGTGCTGGGATTAAAGGCGTGTGCCACCACCGCCTATCGTAATGTGTTCTTTTAACTAATGAGCCATCTCTAGCCTAAAGCCTTACATTTAAAATAAATAAAAAAAGCCCTGAGACATTTAGCCAGAATTTTTATTTTAGTTTCCTCATTAGTAGGGGGAAAATACTGGCCTGGTAAGGTGATTGTGGAAAACAAAACAAAACAAAAAAACCAAACAACATCAACAAAAATCTGAGTTACTGGAGAGCTTTTGTAAAACCCAAGTCCATGAATTCTTTTTTTGGGGGGGTTTGGGATAGCGTTACTCTGTGGCTTCATATGCATGGAGTAAGTTGTCATTGGCCACACAGGTTGTGCTCTAACCGCATCATTAAATTATGATTGTTGACTCATGTATGTCTAATACTACTAGATGACAATAGATGTCCCATAAGGCTGACTATTTATAAAGCATGATTGTAGTCTAAAAATTGTAATGTTTAAAAATATCCACTCATTTCAACAATATCGTTTTTTTATGTTTATTATTGCTGCAACACTTACTATTAGGATTGTTTAGTGATGGCCAGATTTCCCACATACTTGAATAAAACCCCATAAAGTCATGGAATTTTATGTAAAAAAACGATAGTGGTTTAGTATTAAGAAAGTGAGTGTGCTATAGAATTTGCCAGTAGGAGTGCTGTGTGTTTTAGGTTGACTTATTAGATACATTCTATAGTGCATTTTAGTAAAGAATAGTTTTTAGAACCATTTTTTTAAAGGACAATAGTGGGTATTAAAGCACATAGAATAGAAATTTAGGCTAATGTGAGACTAAGGGAAAAATATAGTAAGATTCTCTCATGTTTGCATATTAGAGAGCTCTGATGTCTGTAAGTTAGCCATCATTAGCTAACAAGGATATGAAAATGTCTTGTTATTTTGTGTGTGTGTGTGTGTGTGTGTGTGTATGTATGTGTGTGTATATACTTGTATATATGTATTGCTGGGAATTGAGCCTAGTGACTATTGCATTTAAGGCAAATGCTCTGTC